TTGTTCGCTATTTTCTAAAGAAGACTTTCTTAAACTACAAAATTTGTTGGACAGCCTAGCGGAAAGGATTTATATGATTCATAGGTGCTGATACGATAAAAAAATAAGGTATTTAGGTATTCAAATCAAATCAGGGAGTATTCGATACACTAATCAAATAAATTAACTTGATGCTATTTGAAGGTATGAAGACTAGGATGGTGCTGCCTTTTGTATCGTCGCGATCTCCTTTCGCTGTATAGTATTTATTCGACCTTGTTTTCGCTGCTTGGTCAAAAAGGCCTATAGGAACGCACCTTGTCCTACAGTCAATAGTAAGCACAATAATTTTCAGAGTAGAACCGGCTGGACGCCGGCATCGTCAGTGAAACCTGCCAACTCGTCAACGAGACAAGTGAAGTCCATCCTTTGACCAATTGTCTGCCAAACCTTTGTGGCATCTCTCCTATCCTCAAGTATTTACCTATCCTATATCCTCGTATCTCCCCTTCAATATCACAATTTCATACTTGTTTATCTAAACCTTGATGAGACTTCTTCACATTGCTCGCTGGTTCCCACATTCTCTCTATTGCTGGTAATGTTGATCCAATGCTGTAATTTTGTCCGCGATCCTCTTCATCTAGGTCCTATCAGAGTTTTTCTCTTGCTCCATAGTATCCCTCTGCTGAAATAGCGTCACCAAGAATGTTCCAGTAAAGCCAATCGACAGCTGGTAAGACGAAATACACGGTCGTTTTTTTATGGGATCGACCTTCAAATCTTTTCACCAAACATTCCCTCGAAATTGAAGCAAGTCCTATGATTACCTACATTCAAACTCTTAAAAATCCGTTCTCCCAAACTTCTTACTTTATTGGCTCTTACCTGTGTTCATGGATTTCTCGTCAGCATCGATTCATTCAATTTCATCTGGCCTAAATTTAAGTATATAAGAGATGTAAAATGTTTCCTTTAAAATTTCTACTAATTTGTTTCCTCTTTATAATGTGTTTTTCCATTTTTTTGCATTTTCATTCTAGTGATCCTTCTTTGCATGCTGCACCTTATGCTTTACAATTGTATATACTAACTAATTAACCTTCCAGACAATGCATTAATTCATATAACTTAATGTTTCTACCTAAAAAATTCCAATTTTTATTGAGTTATGCCAATCTGGAAAAACTTTTTTCCTCACAAATCCGTATTATTCTTATAGCCAGTTATTTATTACCGTTTATTTTTTCTTGCTTTTTATGTGGCCATTTAAGTCGAACCATCTAAGCCTGATCCTGACTCTGGGATGGTATTACATTATACTTCGGCGCCTTCCATGCCTCCCAACGCACTTGGTTTACATATGTCTGCACCTCCTGCTTCAACATCTCTCTCATTCTCTGGTGCTGTCTCTAATACAAACAGTTACGGCGTTCTGCCTTTGGTTGGTGCTGGGCACCACATGTACCGTGGTCCGCCTCCTTGCGCTGCGCGACATCCTCGTGGTGCACCAATCACTTGCTGCCAACATCATTTGTCCGATCCACTCCCTGGCAAGTCCTTGGCGAGTTCTTCAGGTCACTCTTATACAGTAACTGCTACTACTGTCACAATCGATCCCACCCACTCTCCGCCTGGCAGGTCTGAGACAGCAGCTCTTATTCATACAACCGGTTCTTGTGAAGAAGAACCCTCTCTCACAATCGAACCTCTGGGTTATTCGCAGGAGTCTGTCATGTCGACGAGGCCTAATGGCTCATCACCACCGGCTGAATCATTAACTGCAGCTACGCCAACAACGGCCTATACACATGAGGCTTGATTCACTAAGGCCTCTGAGGTCCTCCCACATCACTGCTTCACAATCCTATAATCCACTTGAACCATCGTGATGTTTGTCATCAGATTGGTTGTTGACTGGGCAGATAGAGCCACTCGGCATTACCCAGTTCTAATGAGTGTCTATAGTAGAAGAATTTTTACTTTGTTCCCCTTGGTTCTCTATGTAGTTTTATGTTCCGCTCTTAAACTTAATGACAAGAATCCTTTACTGCTTTCTATTTTCAGATCTTGTTGGCTATTTTCTCTCGCTTTCTTCTGCAGCATCCCGGCCATTGCTCTGGATGAGCCGCTTCAATGTCTTTCCTCAAGATTGATATGAGACCTAAACTTTGCGCCTATGTCCTTGATTTTTTCTCTAATCCTTTTACAGACAAGAATTTTAACTTAATGTGAGTATGCTAAACAAAAGAGGATAGATCGATTAAGTGGACTTCGCTGCTTGGGTCTTTGTATTGTCTCAATCTAGACTTCATTTTGAGAACTATATTATCTTATTTCGCTTTTATTTTTATTTTTCAAATCGTGCAAAGTTCATGTGCATTTTTCCTCTCACAGACGACGGCGGAAATCTCTGTATAGATTCTATTTTTCTGTGTACTCATTCCATCGCCTTGTTCTCTTAATCATCATGAGTATCTCCCTCCAAGAATCGACCCCTGTATTTATCAGATTTTTCAAAATCTATATAGTACTTCGTGAACATCATTTTTTGATAATCGAGAGCCCAGCTTTAATTTGGATAACGCCTACATAATTAACTCATGACTAGTTTTTAAGGTTGTATATGAATGAAGGAAATTGGTTTATTTTGATTGATCTCAAATTCTGGAATTGATTCTGTATATATCGTTTTGGTTATACTAAAATTAGCTTAATTTATGTAATCAAAGGTATGAAGATCAAGGTGGTGTGGCGTTCTGTGTGGTGGCAGTCGCCTTTCCTTGTATAGAGGTTGTTTGACCTTATTTTCGCAACTTGGTCATATTAGTAGGAAGACTTAGACGAATACACCTAGTCCGGAGTCCAATCTATGCATGATCATTTCCAAAATCGGACCGTGGACGTGGTAAATTCCTAGGCGCTTCGCCGGCATCGTGTGCGAGTCTCACCGTTCTTAGCAGCACACAACAACTCGTCAAAGAGACAAGTGAAGCCGATCCTTTAACCAAACGTGTGCTAAACAGTTATGGTATCTCCCCTTCTACCTTAAGCTATTAACGTTTTCTATATCCTCCGATCATGCCTTCACTGCTACAATTTTTACCGTACCTATTTCGATGTAGTGTGGTGTGCTCCTCTGAACGGAATTCATGAAAATCACTCACTCCACACTGTCATTCTCACCTCGTTCATCCTTAAGCTGGGAATGTTGATCAGAGTCAGCCATATTGTTACGCAGTCTTATCAGTCCCCCTCTTGCCTCGTAAGATCCGTCTAATCTCTCCCTTGTTCACGTATTTTACTCGACCCATTCCACCCAATCTGTGCTGCTCGAGGCGTTATGCGTCCTCCCCTGCGTCTGGGTGAATAGTTCGAGGCTAAAGCCTCTGAGTAAGTCTCATGGTCACGCCTTTGCTAAATGGACCATGTCTATGGTAAAATCATACCTACTGTCAGCCTACAGCGTAACAATATGGCAGACTGATCAACATTCCCAGTGTAAGGATGAACGAGGTGAGAATGACAGCGTGGAGTGAGTGATTTTCATGAATTCCGTTCAGTGGAGCACCACACTACATCGAAATAGGCACGGTAAAAATTGTAGCAGTGAAGGCGTGATAGTAGGATATAGAAAACGTTAATAGCTCAGGGCAGAAGGGGAGATACCATAAGTGTTTAGCACACGTTTGGTCAAAGGATCGGCTTCACTCGTCTCTTCGACGAGTTGTTGTGTGGTGCTAAGAATGGCGAGACTCACTGACGATGCCGGCGAAACGTCCACGGTCCGACTTTAGAAATGATCATTCCAACAATGGACTCCGGACTAGGTGCGTTCCTCTAAGTCTTCCTACCAATATGACCAAGTTGCGAAAGCAAGGTCAAATAACCTTTATTTATTTAAGCCAAAAATTTGCTATTCCAATTTCAGCCTATTCTAAGAAAAAACCTTTCACATATTAACAAACCTCGTTGGAGAATTTTTCTATATAACTTTGTCCAAGCCTTGATTAGCATGAAATAATATAATTATGTTGGAGAGGTGTAGTTTGCCTTAAAATTCGCATCTATTCTGTGACCTGACACTCGTGGCAATGCAGCGTGGTGGGAACCTATTAATAATATATTCAGGTTTAATTCTTATTGGCTTATTACATGTATGACAAAAGTAATTGTTAACCAATATAAACGAGCAGATCTGAATAGGATCTAATACTTATTAAGAACTGACAACGTCATAGACAAGAGGAATATGTTTTGTCTTATTCAATAGTGTAAAACTAAAGCGGTTTTAAATAATGCCTGATGCGCCCTGATATATTAAGTTACAGTGAGGATAAGAATAATTGGTAGATGAGCTTTTCTGAATTATAGGCGGCTATAGGCATGATGATTTCATACGTAAGTAGATCTTTGAGACTAACAGTAAATCAGTAATGTGAGATGTATTCATCCAATTTCGTTTAAGTTGATGAAAGACTGGTAGTAGAATTTTCCCACAATGATATTAGTAGATCTGAAGTTCCCATTGAATTTCACATAGCCTTGCCTTCCCAAAAGTTGTTCTCATCCGGGATGAGACTACAGTTTCGACCGCATATGTCTTATCAACACCCCTAGCGGGAGTCAAACCGTGACAGTGCAGTATGTGAGCTTGAAATGTTAACCACTCGGACACATTGCCACGAGTGCCCTTGGGTCACAGGGCAGATGTGAATTTCAAGGAATACATCTAATATTACTGATTTACTAGTAGTCCATAACCTCATCTTACATACAAAAAATAAGTAATGTAGTCGATTGTTTTAGCAAATATACGTTTGCTTCATCGACAATCCCACTAAAGAATGTGATATGGGAAAAGGCTTGCCCTTCCTTGAAATTCACATCCACCCTGCTACCCAAGGACACTCGTGGTAATGTGGCCGATTGATCAACGTGTCAAGCTCACATTCTGCACTGTCACGGTTCGACTCTGGTTGGGGGTGTTGATAAGACCTATGCGAGGTCGAAACTTCAGTCTACAGTGGATGAGAGGAACTATTGGAAAAGTAAGGCTATGTGAAATTTAATGGAAACGTCAGCTCTACTCATCATTTGGATGAAATTCTACTACCAGTCCTTCATCACCTTAAACAAAACAGGGTGAATACATCTCATATTAATGATAATTTTAGTTTAATATTCCCAAATATCAAGCAAACGAGAACCTGAATCGAGGACAACCAGCCGATAAGTTTGACAGAAGTGTGCTAATTGGACGTGTTGATTTCGTCATAGAAACTCGGCACTGCATCTAAAATCGGATGATTACGCTCTTAGGCGAAATTGATGCAAATGAATATACATAAAGAATTGATAGTGGAAAGTGTTTTTAATACCATAGTGTAGGGAGCACAACTGGGCATGCTTCACAAGTCCACCCTTACGATCTGAGCAGGTTGCGGAAACGAGTTTAACCCTATTATATCCATGCTTAGATCG